TTGAGTTAAACAAGAGTAGCCCAAACGTTGGCGGTGGATGCTGGTGATTAGCTGCTTACAACTAGTCTGTTGATTATCAGTTGGGCACGACTGTGCGCAAATATCCATTTTTGTAGCTTTTCGCGAAAATTCTGAAATTTAAATTTCAAACAAAAGGCGAGATCTGGCGCTTACTTAGCTGTTTCAGTAAGTAGAAGACTGTCTTGACTATGACTGGGGCTTAAAACTCTTAATAATAAAGCTGCCGAAACGTTCAGTCTTTTAACGCTGGCCCCCCAGTGGCACAGCGGTATGTCTGCGGACTTACAACGCTAGAAACCGGGTTTCGATACCCGTGGTGGGCAGAGCACAGATAGCCCATTGTGTAGCTTTGTGCTTAATTTCAAACAAACAAACTTTTAACTTTGGCAATCAATTTTTATTGTTCTAATAAAGCTGCCGAAACGTGCAGTCTTTTAACTTTGTCAATCTGCCAAGTAAAGTTTTTTATTGTACTAATAAAGCTGCCGAAACGTGCAGTCTTTTAACGCTGGCCCCCCAGTGGCACAGCGGTATGTCTGCGGACTTACAACGCTAGAAACCGGGTTTCGATACATGTGATGGGCAGAGCACAGATAGCCGATTGTGTAGCTTTGTGCTTAATTTCAAACAAACAAACAAAATTTTTAACTTTGGCAATCAGTTTTTTATTGTACTAATAAAGCTGCCGAAACGTGCAGTCTTTTAACGCTGGCCCCCCAGTGGCACAGCGGTATGTCTGCGGACTTACAACGCTAGAAACCGGGTTTCGATACCCGTGGTGGGCAGAGCACAGATAGCCCATTGTGTAGCTTTGTGCTTAATTTCAAACAAACAAACTTTTAACTTTGGCAATCAATTTTTATTGTTCTAATAAAGCTGCCGAAACGTGCAGTCTTTTAACTTTGGCAATCTGCCAAGTAAAGTCTATTATTGTACATTTTGAACATTGTTCCTGTTTTTAATTTTACATCTCTGTACAAGTAGGCTTTATTTAATTTATATATGACAAAGGCTGATTTCTCAAATCTTGACTGTGGTTTCGCTAGAGCTAGATAGTAGATCAGGACTAACACATATATATATGTGTGTGTTTCCGGACGTCCACCAATTTCGAATCTATCTCGTGCTTTGCTCAGTAGCGACTAAGGAAGACACTGAATAATGTCGGAACAGATGGTAGGTTTTCAGCTATATATTTCTAGCATTAACAGTTTTAATTTATGGTTTTAAACTTTACTTGCTTGTTGTTTCGATGATATCTTTAATATTATATATCCAGATTCTTGATATAACACTAATAAATGTGTTTATATATACATATATTTAAAGCTTCAAAAGTTTGATATTTTCAAGGTGACTACTAGTTCTACATACAGAAGTTATGAAATATTATTTCTGAGTAACAACGCTGGTTGTTTTAAATTAAAAGCGTTTTTAAACTAAGGTTTGTAGAATTGAGATATTTTTTACTTGGAAATTATATAATACCCTTTTAAACTACAGCAAGAATGTGATAAATGATAATTACATTGTCTTATAATAATATAATTCTGTGGCAAAGCACAATCTTTAAAATAGTAATTCTGGGAAATTACATTTCAAGTATTATAAGTAATTATTAATTGACTGTAATTTTGTTACCTTGCGCGAGCTAATACAATCCTGGGACTTAGTAAGCTTCAGAACGTAGTTGAAGAAAGGATGTGGCTGCTGGACCTTTTCAATCAATTCCACTGTAACTCGTTCTCTTCCATTTCCATCGGTGCTGGTTGTAACTTATCAGCGCAAGGTTGCTGACTTTAGCAGCAAGCTGATGTGTTAACAATACTTTAGAAGCCGTAACTCCATTGTTATCGCTTCTGTTTTTGAGATTTTCTAAGACGTCCGAACTGCTATTAGTGTCTAAGTTGACTTATCATTTGTCCCTGCTGTAAACATACATGTAAAATAGTTCAATTGAAAGATGATTGATAATTAAGAGTGGAAAAAAAGTTCGATAAATGTTCTCGATTCATTCACAACAAGAATGTTCAAATAGTAGTTTTAAAATGGAAATATTAACCTGACCTTTGATGCCTAAATACAAAGTAAAAAAAAAAAAGAAAAAGAACTGTCGCCCGCGCTAATCTAATTATAACAATCAGTTATAACTTCAGGTAAACGTGAAAGTTTCATTTCTATTGCTGATTTAAGTAAGATTTCAATCTTGCTGTGTTATTTGAGTCAAGTTTCAAAGTTTGTTCAGTGTTAATTGGTGTTACGTAAATTTCGTGCAGTAATCATATTTGCATCACCAAACACACGTTTGTTAATTATGCATTTTAAATTTCAACACAGCAACTTGGCATTAGTGGATATTCAGCTTAATCTAGCACAGAAAATGTGAAAATTCAGAAAACGCCTTCTGAGTGGAGAAAGATACGAACGAGGACAGTTTCGCCTGAAGTTATAATTGATTGTTATAATTAGTTTTGCCTGAAGTTATAATTGATTGTTATAATTAGTTTTGCCTGAAGTTATAATTGATTGTTATAATTAGTTTGCCTGAAGTTATAATTGATTGTTATAATTAGTTTCGCCTGAAGTTATAATTGATTGTTATAATTAGTTTCGCCTGAAGTTATAATTGATTGTTATAATTAGTTTTGCCTGAAGTTATAATTGATTGTTATAATTAGTTTTGTCTGAAGTTATAATTGATTGTGATAATTAGTTTCGCCTGAAGTTATAATTGATTGTTATAATTAGTTTTACCTGAAGTTATAATTGATTGTTATGATTAGTTTTACCTGAAGTTATAATTGATTGTTATGATTAGTTTTACCTGAAGTTATAATTGATTGTTACAATTAGTTTTGTCTGAAGTTATAATTGATTGTTATAATTAGTTTTGTCTGAAGTTATAATTGATTGTTATAATTAGTTTTGTCTGAAGTTATAATTGATTGTTATAATTGGTTTTATCTGAAGTTATAATTGATTGTTATGATTAGTTTTATCTGAAGTTAAACTTTTAGACCACTTACAGCAAGAACCGTTGCTTTTAGTCCACTTACAGTTGCTTTATACCACTTAAAGTAAAAACCGTTGCTTTTAGGCCACTTACAGTAAGAACCGTTGGTTTTAGGCCACTTACAGTTAGAACCGTTGCTTTTAGACCACTGAAAGTAAAAACCGTTGCTTTTAGGTCACTGAAACTAAACCAGTTCTTGTACATTAATCTTGATTAAGCCACAACAACGAAACGTTGGCTGAGATTAAAAGTTTTTTATTATTATCCGGAGAGTAAACGTTGTTGGGTTTTTTTTCCCTAACTCTATTCCCACCTCGTGGTGTTTAGGCCAATAAGGTTTCTTTTCTTTTCGTGACGTTATGTTCGACTCAACATGAAAGGCAATCGATATTTTTTTCTCGACAGATTGGTAATGGTCTGATATCTGACATGTAGACGTCCTCCACTACTCGTGATAACCATGTGTCACATAGTAATCACACTAGTCTAATTAACGATATTAATAAGTTTTGATTTTATTGGTGATAATACTTGAATTACGTATGCTACAGAAGCATGCACACGTGCAACTGGATTTCGGTTATGAATCTGTGGATAAAACAGTCCTCTACTGAGAAACTTCAGAGCGCCACCTACTGGTATAAAATACTTAAACAAATCAACAACAGACAGAGACTTTTCAAAAATAGTATTTTAATCAGGCTTTCCACATGAACAAAAGACCACAGTTAATATTAAGCTTGCTATTGTTTTTGTCTTTCGGCAGGAGATGAACAAAAATTATATCCAAGTATTGTAAAAAAAAAAAATCTAAACACAAATTACGCATCAGTTTTATAAAGTTTCCCAATAAAAATTCTGCGCAAATATTGTGTGGTATTATTTCTTAATAAAGGATGACACCGATGCGGGTTCCACGTCAATTTCACTTTAATTGACACGCTACACCAAGCCTGCATATAAGCCTAATATCGAAGGAAAGAAATAGGTTCGATTGGATGGCTGTGTAGCAAGAAACGTGACTGCCATTCCAAAACCTGCTGTGCCGTGTTATTGGTTCTGTGAGTAGCACTACGATTGGTAGGTTATTCTTAAACAAAGTTTATGGTTCCTGTAACACATAGGTTATTCTTAAACAAAGTTTATGGTTCCTGTAACACATAGGTTATTCTTAAACAAAGTGTATGGTTCCTGTACCACATAGGTTATTCTTAAACAAAGTTTATGGTTCCTGTAACACATAGGTTATTCTTAAACAAAGTGTATGGTTCCTGTACCACATAGGTTATTCTTAAACAAAGTGTATGGTTCCTGTACCACATAGGTTATTCTTAAACAAAGTTTATGGTTCCTGTACCACATAGGTTATTCTTAAACAAAGTGTATGGTTCCTGTACCACATAGGTTATTCTTAAACAAAGTGTATGGTTCCTGTACCACATAGGTTATTCTTAAACAAAGTTTATGGTTCCTGTACCACATAGGTTATTCTTAAACAAAGTTTATGGTTCCTGTACCACAAGAATTCTGAACTTACTATATCACGTTAGTTCACTTTGTAAATTCACCATCAAAACGGGGTTTTTTTGAGTTTCATACACCTCTCAGACACATATGTTTCAGACGCAATTTCTACTTTAAGCTGTTTAATTAAAGCTAGTTAGAAAGACAAAGATTATTTACATGTTGTTTTTATTGGGGGGGGGGGGCTTGGTCCTGTGATACAGCTCTGGATCTCGATACTGGGAAGCCAAGCCCGAATCCGTGAGATACCGCAAAATATTCCCCGCACGTTAAACTGGCTGCCTTCCATCTCTTCAATAGTTCCAAATTATAGTTTGTTTGTTTGTCGTTAAGCGCAAAGCTACACAACGGGTTATCTGTGCTGTGCTCACTTCAGGTATCGAAACCCGAATTTTAGCGTCATAAGCACAATAGAGTTGCCGCTGAGCTACTGTGTGTGGTGGGGTTCCAAATTATAGACGGCGACGGATAGCCTTAGTAGCTTTGCTATAAAGTAGAAATTGGAAAATGTTCTTGGGGGTATATATTTCATTTATTTAAAAATGCTTATTTTCGAACCAAGAGACTTGAAACCTAAAATTATTAGAATGGAGCCTTTTATTCTTGAAATATTTAACACTTAGAACTCTACCTTATTCTTTCTGTTTTATCAAACCTTTGAGTCGGTCAAAGTCTATCGAAAATCAGAAATATTACAGAATAGATGAATAAAGAAGTCGAGAACTCTTTTTAATCACAAGTTACGCCATTTTTTTACTCCAGAAGAAATACACTCCTTCACTTTCGATGCTCGTTTTTATCTTTATCAGTTTCTATATAGTTTTCCCTAACAATTATAATACGTCAGTAACATATATGAACCAATCTATTCGTGGTGTCACAAACTGGAGTATTGTCAGTCTATTTAAAGTATGACGTGGACGTGAAACGACTTCCGAAAAGTAGAAGTCGTGATAGTAAATGCACATAGTCGGAGCATTTGAATAAAAAAATTCTGAGCTCAATATAATAATTTATAAAAAACCTAATGACGTTTATTTTGTGATCGGTAATACTGAACCTGAGTAATAATATGCCGTTTTCTGGTGGTCGTAAGAGACACTTTGTTAAGTGTGGCTAATATTGAAAGGATTTCCTTAATTATTCGTATCATCGGTAAAATATTTGTGAAACTAAAATACGTGTGACAAAATATTTATCTTGTTTGTTTGTTTGTTGTAAATCAAAGCCACATTGGGCTATCTTCTGTGTCCACCGAGGGAAACTGAACCCTCGATTTTAGCGTTGTAAGTTCGTAGACTTACCGCTGTCCCACAAATATTTTTGAAACTAAAACTTTTATAACAATGATGTTAACACTATAAGTTACTTTTTAACTTACGTTTTGTAGAACATTTACAACCAAAACGTAAAAAGTTTTCCTTAATGTTAAATAATAACAAAATTCTTTAAAGAGTAAACAAAATTTAATTAAGATTAGGCCTACAACACTCATTTTTGTCAAGTTCAGAATTTACCCACGAAACTTGTAGTAGATCAAAAGGTTATACGTCATTGACTTAGATTTTTCTATGATCACAGAATCAATCCTGCTGTCTTTTAATTGGTTGATGTAAAATGTGACTTCACTTGAATCCTTAGCCATTCAGAACTAACAAAATTTAATTGGTTGATGTAAAATGTGACTTCACTTGAATCCTTAGCCATTCAGAACTAACAAAAATTTAATTGGTTGATGTAAAATGTGACTTCACTTGAATCCTTAGCCAATCAGAACTAACAAAAATTTAATTGGTTGATGTAAAATGTGACTTCACTTGAATCCTTAGCCATTCAGAACTAACAAAAATTTAATTGGTTGATGTAAAATGTGACTTCACTTGAATCCTTAGCCAATCAGAACTAACAAAACTAAAATTCCATTCTTTATTTTTAATTATTCGAGATTCACGCAATTGACCAATTTTTTTTCTTTCAAATTGCCCGAAATAAAAACAAAACTTGATCTTATTTTTTGCAGTTATGCATGACTTTCACAATTAAATCGATCTTTCTCTTCTTAAGCTTTTACTATCATCTTTAATATTTCAGCTAATGTTAGTGAAAATCCAGGGATTTGTGCTTATATCCTAACGGGCATATCGATTCTGTTAATCGTAGCAACTTTACCTTTGTCCTTCATCTTCTGCATCAAGGTAAGTCATCAATTCTATACCTATCTGTTTATTTGTTTCTCTAAACAATCTTTTATTATTATTTTATGTCATCAATCGTATATCTGTCAGTCTATTTGCCTAAACAGTCTTTACGTTTTTAGTATGCCAGAGTGATAGGCTTAATATTTTGTAATAAGGAAGTAGTTTCTGTAATAGTTACTTTTTCTTCTTTTTTTTTAAAGAGATTTTAGCGTGTTCTAATCTCACTGTTCACGTACTTGTACTGTCACGTGCAAGAGATGGACACTATAAATACCGAGTTTTTATTTGTTTTCACACAAGGTTAGTTTTCCTAACATCTTGCTTTTATTCTGAACTGAAAGTTAATGTTGTCCAAGTTTCGTTGTTTTTATAGTCTTAATTAAAGATTCGAGGGTGAAAGTTAATGAAATCTATTGATCAAAAAATAAAATAAACGAGCTTGCTTTCCTTCCCATCTTTTTGCACAAAGCGTGACTGATAAAATATCTTTATTTTTATTGAACTTTATTTTTTTCATTTTCGTTCTAATGGTGTAGGTGGTTCAAGAATATGGAAGTTGAAATGAAAGTACTCCCAGCATTCAGAGAATCAGCAATCAGAGAAAGAGAACTGCGTTTGTTTAATGACAGAATAACAACAACAAATCAGGAAGTTGAAATGTTTCTCATCTTCATCACACTTTCTATAAACTTTTTCCGAATATAAAAACAGTACCAATATTATAATATCCGTCCCATCAAACCATGCTCGTCCCTTCAGCCGTGGGGGCGTTATAACATGACAGTCAATCCCACTATTCGTTGGTAAAAGAGTAACCCAAGAGTTGGAAGTGGGTGGTGATGATGACTATCTGCCTTCTTTCATTGCTACATTAGGGACGGCTAGCGCAGATAGCCCTCGTGTAGTTTTGCGCGAAATATAAAACAAACAATATTATAATCATAACAAAACATACAATGACTTATAATATTTCTTATATAGCTTAAAAGCTAAAATATTGTTTAAATTTTTGATCTTACCTGGGCCTTTTGCACCACCACGTACAAGTCTACCAAGGCGAAATATAACCGCTCGTTTTCTGTCATTAAACAAACGCAGTTCTCTTTCTCTGATTGCTGGTTCTCTGAATGCTGGGAGTACTTTTGCAGTAGATTAGATTAGCTTTTCATAAATTAAATACAAATTTGTTTTGCCAATTGCGACGCAGGCACGCAAAGTCCCGAAAGTAAAGCGAAACTAAAGAGGACTCATAACGTCGTTACAGTTAGTCTGCAAACAACCTATTAACCAGCAAGCTTCAGGAGAAATTTCCTTTTATTTTATTTGAAGTTTGTAAAAGTCTGTCTCTGGTTGCTATACTCCTATGATGCTGATGTCATAATTGTTATTGTAACTTTACATGCGCCTTACAACAACCTTATGGACTGGCATGGCCATGTGGTTAAGGCGCTCGACTCGCAATCTGAGGATCGCTGGATCGAATCCCCGGCACACCAAACATGTTCGTCCTTTCAGCCGTGTGGGCGTTATATGTTGACGGTCAATCCCACTATTCGTTGGTAAAAGAGGAACCCAAGAGTTGGCGGTGGGTTGTGATGACTAGCTGCCATCCCTCTAGTCTTTCACTGCAAAATTAGGGACGGCTAGCGCAGATATTCCTCGTGTATCTTTGCGCGAAATTCAAAACAAACAATACAACAACCTTACTTACGTGTGGATGTATATCATGAAGAGTGTTTTCTTTTCACACTGTACTTTCATTCAATTCTCGATAGATTTACGCTATCCACTGATCCGTAGTCTTTCATTAATATCTTAAACATTTCATCTCCATCCTCTCCTCTTTCATCTTCCACCATCATATTGTTTATCCATCAGTTCTCAGTTCGATATGATATTCTAGATATTTTTATCCACATCTCCTCTTCTCTATTTCTCTTCCAAGATATTTGCATAAAATATTGGTGTAAATGCCTAAAGATGGTTCAAAAACAGAAACGCTTTTCTACATTAGACTCTTTTTTTGTTAACGCTTGAAACTTTAGGGTTTTTTGTTGTTTTTTTTTGTTGTTCTACTTTACTAATCACTTCTTAGAATCTGAGGGTGTCATTTTACTTGAAAATGTCTAATATTGACATTCCATCCTTCCATTAGCCATGACATTTTTTTTTCACTTAGTTGATCTCAATATAATCGTACTATTTCAATCCTTCGAACATTGCGTTTTATTCAGCCATTTAAGTAAAAGGTTTTTGTAAGTTATTGACTCATTACGTTTCATCTGTTTATTGAAACATGTCCTTTTCCAATGAAACATTGCGTTTTAATTATCCAATTCAACATAAACATTTTGTTTATCCATTTAAGCATTAACTTATATTCTCCAGCCAAAGCATTCCATACGTCATTTTCTTAACCAAATAGTCGAGTAATCATTTTTTTTCAGACAGTTTTTAGCAGTATCGCTCATCATTTCTTGCTTACAGCTAGGCGTGTGGTTCTATCCACCCACTCAGCCTCAAAATTCATTTATGGAGTTTCTGCTGTTATCTTATTATTCTGTCCATTTATCCACGCTTCCATGTATTTATCCCCCCCCCCCTTCATACTATTAATTAGCATATTTATAATTTTCTGTACTTTCTAGCTATTTATTTTGATGTTTAGTTAAGGCTTCTTTCTGTTTATAAAGTTTTGTGCTGATTGTTAAAATTGTTTTCTGGTTATAAACAGAAGTTCTTCAATTGCTTATCACGTGCCACGTGCAGCAGCAGCATGTCCGGAACCGGATGGTGTGATTCTCACGAGGACTCAAGTGCAATAGAACACGCGAGTCACGCTGTAATAGGAAACTACGAAGACAAAAAGGATGCCCATTTCCTTGGGGCATCATTCGATTTTCTAGATATATTTTGTTGCCAGCCGCGTGCCCGACATGACTGTTTTTCTTTTTTTCTTTTACCTAACAAATCACTTGTTTTCTGCAAAGTTTCTTTTATATCAAAAACGAAGCTACGAATTAGATATGCAAAAAAATAACATTTTAATTTAGAAAAAAAGATAAGTGAAAAACATTCGCTTTCTCCAGAGAGAGTGTTTTATCTCAAAATGGTACTTGTTTCTGACTGTTGACCTTATATTTAGGGTCAATACCATTGGGGGATTTGCCTCGTATCATATTTGGTCTTTTATTTTGTGTCTCCATTATCTATGATCAATCTAAAAATCTGCAAAGAAACGAGAAAAACGATGTTAATTTTCTAGCATGACCTTAATTTAATCTTTATCACACTGATGAACTTTTTGTCCGTAGACAATGGCAAACTGTCTTTGGAACACACTGTCGTTGAACTAGCATGATCTTAGTTTAATCTTTATCACACTGATGACCTTTTTGTCCATAGACAATGACAAACTGCATTTGGAACACACTGTCGTTGAACTAGCATGACCTTAGTTTAATCTTTATCACACTGATGAACTTTTTGTCCGTAGAAGCGTCTCGCAGAACAATAAAACCCAAAAGCTTTAGTACTCCCAACCCATTAATAAAAAAGACATTAACAACAGTTTGTTTTCTATCATATCGTGTTCAGTATGTAGCTAGATATTTTTATTTTTTTCGAATGGTGTTTCACACACCTCCAAGTTATTTTGGAAGTGAGTATCCGGAAGTGGCTAGATGATAAACGTAAAGAACTTGTCTTAATCTATTACTTTATTTTGCTTTGTCTGCTAAAAAGCCATTGACTAACTAAAGGAAAAGATGTTTCTAAACCTTACGTATCAGTCCGGAAAAACGTATCTAAAAATATAAGATGATGGGTGGGCTGGAAAAATTATCTCTTTCTAGTTGTATCATGCAATCTAACAATTTCATACTTGTATTTTAGGTTTGATGTCAATAAAACTACATTAGATAGCTTGTGCAAACTTATTATAAACTTCAAAAACCAGTAAATTGAAAATGTTTCCCAATAGAACAAAATAATCAAACAGGAGAACGAGGTAGCAAATGAAAGAAGTTATGTTGACCAACTGACTGACTGAAATTCAAACGGAACAGGAGAACGAGGTAGCAAATGAAAGAAGTTATGTTGACCAACTGACTGACTGAAATTCAAACGGAACAGGAGAACGAGGTAGCAAATGAAAGAAGTTATGTTGACCAACTGACTGACTGAAATTCAAACGGAACACAGGATTTCAATTTGTTCTTCTTACAACCAAAATTCTAGTGTTCAATGTTGTTTTATCGCTAAATGAATATCAAATTATTGCGCTATTTCAACGAGAACCTTGTTAGCCACCACCAACGCCCTATCTTTCTGCATGATCGGTAAAAAAAAAATTAGATTCCAAATGGTTACAAGCACATTCTGTTTTTTCAGATCAGCCGAATCGTAGTGACCAAAGCACAAATAATTATGTTTCAGGCATTTTCTTCATTATCCCCTGCATTGACACCTACTGTAAAGTGGACTTAAGGACAGTTTCGTTTGATGTTCCACCACAAGAGGTAAGTTTCTTCTGTTGTTATTGGTTTCGTATATCAACATGTCATACTCTTGAAATTCTTTACAATTCTCTAACATTTGGCCCGGCATGGCCAGGTGGTTAGGGCGCTCGACTCGCAATCTGAGAGTCGCGGGTTCGAATCCCCGTCACACCAAACATGCTCGCCCTTTCAGCCGTGGGAGCGTTATAATGTGACGGTCAATCCCACTATTTGTTGGTAAAATAGTAGCTCAAGAGTTGGCGGTGGGTGGTGATGACTAGCTTCCTTCCCCCTAGTCTTACACTGCTAAATTAGGGATGACTAGCGCAGATAGCTTTCGTGTAGCTTTGCGCGAAAATTCAAAACAAACAAACAAACAACACTCTAACATTTTATATGTAAACAGGAAAAAAAACTCCTAGCTTCTAGGCAGTTTATGTCTCTGAATATATAAAATGATATTGTAATAAGTTCCAGTTTTTGGCAAAACGATCAATAAAAACTTAATTAACGTTATTGTTATGAATATACATCACCAATGGCGACCACAGTTTCTGAGCGCAGTTTATGGTTACAAATTCAGTTATTATTCATAATTAGTAACTTACTAATTCGAATAGTAATTTGTCCCTTTCTTTGTACGTTATTTTAGTGGAGCCCGCGTGGTAATATTGGCGTTTCTCTACAGACGAAACTGTCTCCAGTTGGTATTTTACTTTGTGTTACATCAATTATTTATACACGAGAGTTTTATCTCAGTTAAACGTTGTACGTCTTAGTAAGTTTATGTTTGACCAGATGGCGAGTCGAACACTCTAAGCACTGTTTATTTGTTTTTGTTTTAGCGCGAATCTACACAATGGGCTATTCATGTTCTGACCAGCGAGAGAAATCGAACACCGGATTTTAGCGTTATAAGTTCATAAACATACTGCTGACCTACCGGATCGTTTCTGAATGTCACCGATACACAGTTACCCTTATTATAAAAGAGGCATTAACGTTCCTGATATCACATCTAGTCTGAAGAGTAGAAACAATTATGATACCTGCATAT